CTCAACTGGTTGGTGAGTTGCTTTTGGATTCACAACTATAGAAAGAGTTAACTAATTTTGCTAAACTGAAGAAACTCAAGGATATCATAGGTTTCCATTTTTAGTTTTCGTCACATTAAAGAAAATGGCTATTTATTTTTTCAATTTATTATTTCAAAAGGTTATATCTTTGGCAACTTATAAATATTGTCAAATAAATCTAGTACTTGGGTTGAGGTTACAGAGATAAGTCATTATATTGAGTGAAAGTCAGAGAGTATAGATAGAACTGTTAATTTATGAGATCTTGCCACAAAAAAGTCACTCTCCCTTTTCCCCATGTCTGTTTTGGCAGTTATCATATTGCATTGTAATTCTGCTTACATATTTGTCTTCCCCACTACACTGAGAACACCGTAAGGCCTAGGATCTCATTTTATTCACCTCTATATCCCCAGGATCTAACACAGTATTTGGCATCCACTAGGAATTCAAAAAATGTTTTTAGCTAATTAAAGTGTAAAACAGATAGATTTGGTTAAACAGCTAATTTCTTAATTTGGGATTCAACTAGTTATTTATTTCTGCCTTATAGTCCTGAGTATTGTATTAAATACTATATTTTGCTTTATTCTCTTGTAGAGTCTTTTACAGTGGTCTCTTAAGAGACCTAATATAATTTTCAGTAGAAACTGATATGCTAGCAAAATTGATTTCTAACAAAGATTAACACTCCTTATATACACAGAGAACGTTCAAGCGAGTAGCACGTAACACAGTCATGAAATATAAATTTGGATTGCCTGGAATAATAAAATAAATTCTGAATGAGAAAAGAATAGAAATAAAGAGAATCTTTCATACTGGATCAGATTCATCTAGAGATGAACTATCTGGCTTTTTGAAACATCTGAGGTATTCAATTAGCTTGGACTGTTCCACTGGTCTGAGTTTTTCTGACACGCTTTAGGCCCCCAGGCCTTCTTTTGACTCTGACACAAAAAGAGAAAGTAAACGGTCTTTATATTTATTTTCTGCATAACACTAACTAGCTTATTTTAAGTCTTGGGAAACTTCCAAGAAAAAAAGTTACCATCAATGAGAAGAACACGGCACATTTCCAAATTTAATTGAAATTAGATGTCAGATCTCAAATGTTTTCATCCACATTTGTTCGTAGCCTTTTCAAAGCTTCTAGGAGTCTGTTACAGTTTGTAAAGCATGCGTTTGAGTTCGTTAATAAAAGCAGTATCCAAAGAAGGGTCTACTTATCATCAATACATTTCAAGTGGGAAACATGTCACTATGATGTTAGTAATTTGGTATTCAAGTGCAATATAAATTAATATATTGTAATGCAGAGTTATTTTTTCTTAGGAAAATTCTTGAAAATATACTTCTTTTCAAATGCCAAAAAAATAATTAGTCCTGGTATAGCAAAGTCATGTTTATCAAATTTAAAGCTAAATTTACCTTCAGAGAGAGAAAATATATAGAAGATAACAGGACCAAATTGGATTTTTGTGTGTGATTTGTACATTGCTCTTGTCTTTGTATTTCATCCATTACCATAGGCAGCTTTAGCTGAATAGGCGTGCTTTGTGAGAGCAATAGTATTCATATTATTTTGTTAAGAATGTGTTTATCATCTCAAAATATATGGTTATTTTGTTAAGATTAATCTTCTTTCAGCATTACAATGTGAACACAATTTAGCAACAACCAAACTGTCATCACTATGTCAGCAAAAAGTATGTAAATTTCTTGAATCTTGTGGATGACTAATGGATTACGTTATAGGAGAGAGAAAGTCAAGATGTTTATTTTCCTCTAGAGACACAACAAAATATCTGTACTGAAGCCAATTCCATGCACTAAAATGTATTCATTTCTACTGAAAATTTTCATTTACTGGATTGCTTTTAAAAATATACAGAACTGAGAACTGAGCGTAACCCTCAAAAAACACATAAATAATTATTCCAGACCATGTTTTCTAAAATTACCTTGAAGCTGATAGTCAATGTTTCCCCTAGTGTTTCTCATTTTGCATAAATTGCCTGCATGAGTTTCTTGTCCATAGGGAAAATGGAATTCACAGTGTTCTAGAGAAAATTAATTAATCTTTGTTCTGGGTATTTATTTTTTGACAAACTACACCTAACTTAGTGGCTAACGACAACCATTTTTATTTTGCTCATGACTGTTTGTGTCAGAAATCTGAGTTCAGCTCAGTGGTTTGTCTCTGAACTACATGGCATAAGCCAGGGTAGCTGGGGCTGGAGGATTCACTTCCAATATGGCTTCTTCACTCACATGTCCCGTGGCTTGGTGCTCATTGGCCTCTCTTTCTCCACATGGTGCCTCATCCTCTAGGGTCTCTCCATGTGGCTTGAGCTTTTCACAGCATGGTAGTTTCACAGCAGACCAGGAGACCCGAAGAAAAGTTGCCAGGTTTCTTTTCACTTAGTCTCTAAAATCCCAGAGTATCACTTCTGCCATAATCTATTGGCCAAGCATGTCCCTAAGGTCAACTCAGATTCAAGGAGAGGGGAATGAGAAACTACATTTAGATGTCAGGAGTAGCAAAAAGTCTGTGGCCAACTTTAATCCACCACAATGTTGTCTCAAATTTTAAGTACTGGGATTTGGGAAACCTGAATTTGGTAATCATGTGCTTAGTCATTTGTATTGGATTATTGTATTTTTGGGTAGTTCCATTTCTAGTTCTAGTTTGAGGGTGTCTAAAGCTTAATGCACTTGATAAAGTTTTAAAAAAGGAAAGGAAAATAATTTCCGGAAGTTTTCATGATCTTACTGAATTCTGAAAGTTTTCCAGATATAGACAGGGATGTCCAATCGCCCCAATTATCTTTCTCTACCTCTTTTTACCCCTAGGGTTTCTAAACCCTCATCATTCTGACTTTAGAGCTCCCACTGACTGAGGAGCTCTCTGACATTTATAGTGCTCCTAACGTCACCTCACTATTGAGGCATAAGAGTAACTTACAAAATGATTTCCAGCTGTAAATAAATGGTGCTAAATAAATCTATGGAAAAGTTAAGACCATTTAAAATTAACCAGTCATGTACTCCTTGAAATGTCAAAGATCTGGTTTAACGGATTTTGTTTTTCTTTCTCTGAATTACATGGTTGCTGTAGCATCTCAGAGAAACAGCCCTTCTAGCATGAAAAATGGGCAGGTCTCCATCTTTCTGTCAATAAAGTTGTTTCCAAATTGTGTTACAAATTAATAACTGAAAAGTTTAGCTTTGCATCTAATATAAATTGCAAGCAAATTACTTTAGTGATTTTACAGTGTGGTGTCGGTGGTGGGTTATTTTGGCATATATACCTATGTTGGAATACATATTTATACAAGGCATACATCTTAGAGAGGTCCTGAGTAGCACATACAGGTGTTGCACCCCAAGAACCTGAAAAAAATGTACTCCCTAGAAGGGTCTGTTTCCTTGCTCAAGAGCAGAACTCCTCACACTTTTCTGTTGAAGTTTGCCTAACAGCAGAGGAGAATGAAGAAGTATCTACCCAGGGGTCACGAACACAAAATTTACTATGTTTTATTTGAAACAGTTGTGTGAATTTGGCTTTCGACTCCTTAATATATAAGTTTTCATATAAAAACAATTTATCCACTTGAATCTCCGTGAAAACTAATAATACAAGGTCATCTGATGGCTTCAGGTAACCCCTGGCAAACTACAGAGTACCCTTGAGGTATTATTATCCCAGTATGGATGGAAAGATGTAAGTAAAAATTACTGAGGGGGTGTATCAGCACATCTAGATTTGGCTTTAAGAAATGTAATTACTTGGCAAGATAATACAAGTAGCAAGGGGAGAGCCATGGTCTACTACTTCAACATTATCTACGAAATAGTCACCACTTCCACAGCCCACTCTTGACAACATGCTTATTATTGTCTCCTCATTTTGTTTTAAAATACTTAACTTTGGTACTCACACTGCTAGGCTGCATTAACTACAATGTGCTATATTTCATTGTAGAGAAACGAATAAACTCTTAGGAATGTAATTTTACCCACCTATTTTCAAGATAGAAATAAGCCTCTAACAATCCATGTTGGAGTGGAAAGATCAAAAGTTGAGTCAAAAACTTCCCAAGTGAGTAAAATACTGGGGCCAATTCTTCTTCCCTGGCTATATGATTGGTAGGTACCACTATGGCCACATATTTTAATAAATCATATACCTAAAGTAAGCCTAATACATTTCCACCATATTTACTTAGTACTCTTGTTTAGAATTGAAGAATAGAATGAAACCCAAGATACATGAAAGCTCACAGATGTTAAAGGATATAGTTTAGAGTAAAGGCCACAGTTTGGAAGAGATACTAGCTTGCCTGTGAGTTTCAAGCTTACAATTCTTGAAACATAAGTATTAGTAGTGGAGGACTCAGAAAAGGGGCTCAACACCTTGCATCCTTATCTGAGTCTATAAAAAGACCGTAGCACCCATAAATCAACTTGTTACTTTTCTAAGCACTATATGATTCATAAATATTCAGGTTCTCAACCTAAAAACAGGTTTTAATTGCTCTAGATTGTGCCATTGGAAATAATACTATAAATTGTTTTAAAGGCTGTACTGAGTGGTTCTTTTATTTTAAAAAGTGCTTGTTCTCCAGGAGTTAATGCTCTCTAAATAACAATTTTTGGCTGACAAACATGAAAAGTTTTCTGTACCAATCACCAATGCACGACACCAATGAATCTATCAATCACAGAGTTAAAAAGCTCTGTCCTACAGCACACTTAATACCCAGTGTAACCAATTAGTATTACCATTCCTTGATGCAATACAAACTCATTTTCTTAAACTGCTATTGCACTGAACTCCAGGGTTATAAATGAGCAGATGCAAATTGATTTGCATGTAATAACAGTGGCAATAAACCTTTCCTGGTTCGTGCAATTTTCCCCATCTGTTAACAGAGAGAAAGTTTAAGATCTATTATTCCCAGAAGGGGACTTACCCAGCTGGACATCTATAACACTTGGCTGATTCTCCATGGGGAACAATGGCTTCGGAGGCTTGTCTGTGAGTAAAGCTAGAAGAGAAAATGAAAGAAGGTAATGGAAAAATTGAGATAAATCACAGGATAAGAAAGATTCTATCGAGTATGATATTTAATGTTTCTAGACTTGATGGTGTGTAAACATTTATTAGACAGTGTTCCTACTTGAGGTGTTATTCTATCCATACAATATCCATTTCCCCGCACATTTAGAGCACCATTGATTCACTGTAAATAGACCATTTCGACAGCTACACTTTCCGACAAGAGCAGACAAATGGACTATTTTGAGTGGTTTCTATAAGCTTGTTTGTCAAAGAAACATAGATTTTAAAAGTATAATTAAATACACATTAAATCTCCATACCTACATTGAGGTGTTAAATATTCTTAATGAAATATTACCCTAATGGACATTTCTGGTAGATTGAAGCTTTTATGTCTCTGAATCATCCCTTACTCCCCACCTCAACCTCCATAACAAAATTATAAAGCAGTGGTACCTTCATTAAGCTAATTGATCAAAAATACTGACTGAGCAATTTTTGTCCACCAAGACTTGTGCTAACAGGTTTTATTGTTTCCCTCAATTTACTATGTAGGACTATGAACACAGAATTAACACATCAAAATAAAGAGATAATAGAACAAAGGACACATTCTAATGAAAAATTGTAGCATTTGAGCCATAAGGCTATATGTGGTAAAGGAATGGAGAAAGGAGAACTCTATATTGGCTGACAGAGTTGGGGAAAGTTTTCTAAAGGAAGTGGGTCTCCACATAGACCTTAAGGAATAGAAAGGCAGAGAGTAAGGAAGAAGTAACGTAGGAAAGATTAACAACACAAACTAAGGAACAGAGGTGGAACTTAGCAAACATATTGTTACTATAGGAGAATGATCTGGATGATCTGGTGAGAAGGAGTTGGGTGGGATGGGATAAAGAGAAAGTTGCTCATCATGTGGAGTCACTGGAAATACAACTAGATAGATAGAATGGAGATAAATTCTGGAGGATCCTGAGAAACATGCGGAGGAATTTGAATATGATGCAGTAGACTAGAAGGCCATTGTAGATTCTTGCAACAACATCAACAAAAGACTCAAGGGCAGTGCTATCTAAAGATGATTGGCTTGATGCATAGGATGGGCTGGAGAAGAACGCAACCAGCTAGGAAGATGCAGTAACAATGCTGCAATGGGGGGATGAGGAGTCAGAGTAGTGGAGTCCAGGGAAGTCAAAAAAAGGAGGGAAATTTGAGCCACCTGGAAGAACGAAATGGGAGGACTTGGCACACAGATACAAAACGCTTTATGACAAATCTTATATCAAGCTATTATCTATATCCTGAATTCCTTTTAATTATTCCTCTATTTATGTCTTGCTTCAACTATCCAACTGGAGTCTTACCTATTAAAGGGAAATGCTTATACTTCTTTGTAATTCATGGGAGACATAGACTAGAGCTGGGAATATAAGAGATAAACATTAAACCATCATTAATTGACTGGCTTAGGAATTCCCTGCTGAAATAAGAGAAGTCCATCTCATACTTGCAAGGATATTTAGAAGCGAAAGAGAGAAACAAAAGTTGATCACGTGACAAGTCAGGTTAGGGAAATAAATTTGGTGAGTTCTCAAAATAGTTGTTAATAACAAACAAATGCACCAGAAATTCACTTAGGAAAGAGCTTTATACAACATTAGCTTCATCTTCCTGATATCCAAATTGCTTGAAATGGGAAAAATTTAGTGAATTGTTCTCATTTTTCCAATAAATCTTTATCAATGGCCCGCAACACATCTTGTCCTCATGGAATCAAACAATATATTTTTATAACTAAACTGATTTGGGAATAATGGCAACAAACACACAAATACAATATCTATAGTCACAATTCCTAAATATTCCAGTTACTCGTAATAATTTGATATTTAAATATTATTTGAAACATAAAGGATATACTTTAAACAAAATTTAAATATTTGAATTCAAATTCCCGTCATAACAGATGTTCAATTTTGTTGTTGTTTGCTATTGTTTATAACAGCAAAATATTGGAAACAACCAAAACATCCATCAGTAGAAGACTTTAAGTAATATCATGATACTTTCATATAACTACAGATTATGAGGCAGCTATTTAAAAGAATTAGGTAAATCTGTACATTATGAAAATATCTCCAAGATATACTGTTCAAAGAAAAAGTAAGGTTTCAGTGTGTACAGTCTACTAACCTTTGTGTAAAATATATATATATATACATACATTTGTGTGTGTATGTGTCTTTATACGTGTATGTATGTGTTTTGTTTAAGTATGGAATATTTCTGAATGGATACATGTGAAACTGGTTACAGTGATTTCTTCTGAGGAGAGGAACTGGATGACCAAGGAATGGTGGGGGCATGGGAGAAGTGAAGTATGGGCAGGCAGAGTAAACTTTAATTTTCACTATAAACCTTTTATACATTTTGAACAACATGAATATCCTGTATATTCAAAACATGAATAAAATTAAAATTAAACAAAATCCAGCCACCTACATTTTATTTATAAAAAAATCATTTTGCTTTCTATGTAGAACTGTTATCAATTTGCCTTAAACATCCAGATTATAGACACTTAGCTTGCTGGAAACTGTTCTTAGTCTTATTTTCAAATATGTCTTGCCTCCAAATGAATTAATTAGAATGTGATAGGTGGAAAGCAACTGTAAGTAATGTATTTCACGCTCAAAGATAAGTATCTTGTCCTACTTTCATCAGGACATGAATTTGGGATTTGGGGTCATTGCTGTCCCCCATCCTTACCTCCTGCCATGGACTATGGACATATTTACCCTGATTCTATTACTGTGAAATGTCAGTTACTGAAGTGATGCTTATTAATATTAATGATAATTTTGAGTGCCCTACCTTTATATGTGGATCATAATTTTCAAATGCTTTCAGATACACTAGCTTGTGTGATCTACACAATGACCTTAGAAGGTAAGAAAAATAGTTACAATTATGCCCAAAGCTAAATGATGCTTACATTGTCTCATTTGGTGCCCCATCATGACCAAAAGCCCCCATTTGCAGAATGGATAGGAAGACAGATATACGTTGTAAGCAAGAGACAGGTAAAAACTTTCGGCACTGAATCGATGTTTTAGCCTCATTGACTACACGCTAATTAACTAAACTAAGGTTCCTAGGGCAATGGGAGTGGCTTTGCGGCAAACAGCCAGCTGAAACATGATTCCTGTAGGACATTTCACACACATACATTTTTTTCCCTATACCCATGAATGAAAGGGGATGAACTTAGACTTACCCTAACACATCCCAGTGGGATGCATGGGTGTGGAGCCTCATTAAATTCCAATATCATGTCTAGGCCTGGGAATTGTCAAGAAGTGCAGAACACTTGTGATGATAAAGCAACAACTGCAGCAGTTCATCTGGATCCTGACCACCAGCCCAGAGGCAAATCTATCAGCACCTAGCATAATTATAGCATTTTCAGATTAGCTAGAACATATGTTGCCATGGGCAGGCAAGCTCATTTCTTTCTTCTTCTTTTTTTAAATCTCATCTGAAATTCACAGAATGAATTCAGAAATTCATTACTGTTTGGGAAATGAAGGGGAGAATTGTCAATACCAGACTCTCTGAACAACAGAGTGGAGATTTACAATTTTATTAGAAAACTTATCCTGGACCTCTAGAGGGACTAATTGGGGTCTGAGCTAGTCTTTGAATTTGCTGCTCAAGCTTCAAGTTTCGATTGAAAGAATGGGAGAAAGAGATGCAGTTTGGTACTAATATTTCAGCCCACAATTCCTCCCTTGCATTTCCCTCTGTAGCTGCTTATTTGTAATTATCTGTAAATAGAACTGCTCTACTGAGTACACCACGACACTAGTCTTAATGTTCTGGTGAAGCTACTACTGTTACTGCCTACTTCTTCCTAAAGCTAGGTTTTATGTTTGACACTAACTTTCCTGAGGAGAATGTCCAAATTAACCCTTTCTTTTCTATTGCAGGCAAAGGTTGTGTCTACCTGTACAACCAGATCAATTGGTTTGACTGAAATGATTGGTCATTTTCCATGAACTTAGTATAAGAAATAAGTAGAGTTAGTTGTTTGATTGAATCAATTTATTTGACTATATTGCCTAAGTGCTACATCCTGTTATTCAAGTTTCATAGTCCTCTTTTGTTGTTGACTTGTCTGTTTAGTTAGACTTACCAGAGAGCTAAGTGGTAGGTGTAGAACGACAGCTTGATGCAAAGGACACCAAGTGAATGAACCCACTAGGAAAATAAAGTAATGCATTAATTTCTATGAATAAACCTATTATGGAATTTGTATGTTAAGATCAATGAAATGAATCCATCCAAATCCATTTAACACACGGGCACAAAAATCACTATTTTCATCACAACATTTAACCATTCAAAATCTACCAATGTCTCCTATGTTTAAAAGAGGATAAAATCTGAGCGTGCCAGCTGGGAACATATAGGCAGCCACAATATAGCCTTAAAAAAATCTTCCTCCCTTTTTACCCACTCTTTTTCTATTTTATCAATGTGATAGCCAAGTTATTTCCTCATTTGCCTCATTAACACATTGCATTAATTTCCAACTCTACATCTTGGCTTAAACACTTTCCCTAAGCTTGAAAACAAGTAATAATAGTTAGCATAGTTATCATTTACTTAGTATCTACAGTGTGCTAGGCACTGTTCTGTGGCATTTCATATTACATTTTACAAATAACTTTCCCAAAGTCAAGTAGCTTTTGACTAGTAAAGCAGGGATCTAAACAGAAATCTGTGTGATTTCACCATGCCCACAATGCCTCTCTAAGACCTTCTCCTTCCTTTTTGCAATTACAAGTCTCATCTAGCCTCCAAAAGCCATTTTAAGTCCTACATCCTCCAGAAAGCCCTCTCCAATAAAAGCCCAAACTAATCTCTCCTCTCTCCGAAATCCTAAAGCATTTACTATTTCCTTGAACCACTCATTTGGTTCAT